TAACTTAAATTGTAAAACAAATTTTGAGACAGCATCATCTCTCTATGCAGCCCTAGGTGGCTTAGAACTCGGTTTGTAGAGCAGACTTGTCTTGAACTCATGGACATCTGCTGTTTCTGGGGTGCTGGTAAAGGTGTGTGTCACCACACCCAGCCTCCTTGCTTACTCCTGTCTACTTTCATTTATATTTATGTATTTTTGGTTTTCTTTCTGAAACAGCAGTTTTCAAACCAATGATGGCCTCAAACCCACTGTGTGGTTAAGGATGACCTTGATCTCCTAATCCTCCTTTCTTCATGGCTCCTGGGAGTTCAGTTTGTGTCTTGGGCTTTGTTGTTGTTGTTGTTGTTGTTGTTGTTGTTGTTGTTCTTCTTCTTCTTCTTCTTCTTCTTCTTCTTCTTCTTCTTCCTCTTCCTCTTCCTCTTCCTCTTCCTCTTCTTCTTCTTCTTCTTCTTCTTCTTCTTCCTCTTCTGTCCTTAACATAATACAATGATTTCCTAATGTCCTAAGGCTCAGGAAGCAGTACTAATCTATGGTCTGCTGTACATTGAGTAACCACTTCCTAAGGATGAAAATAGCATTAGTTTCAAAGGTTTTACGATGAAAATTAGCAAAGTGTGCTATAGATTTCCTACTTTTCCCTCATAACATAGAACTCTCAAAGCAGAGACACTAGATTAAAGAAACATCTACAATAATAATCCAGGAAGTTTCATTCCTCGGTCACCTTGGCATTCAGAACAACCACTAACATCATTTCAATGACAAGATGTCATGCACAGGGAGAGGATTCCCAGAGTGCATTTATTAGAGTGACAGGAGAAGAGGGAGGATGAGGAAACACCAGAGGAGAGTTTGCAGGAAGAAGCTGGGACACAGAGGACCCTGTGTGAATGTGGAGCACACATGAAGGAGGAGGAGGAGGCCAGGAGAGTGTGACAACTCATCACCATGGCAAATCCCATTCCTAATCCCTAACAAGATTAGGAGTGCTCAGTGTGACACATGCAGATTCCTTGACCAGCAGCTTAGGTCCTAAGACCCTGGATAGACATGAGTGTGAACTAAATGACATCTTGGTGTCAAGTCACAGAGCTTGACAGTCCTGGAAATGCTGTCAGCAAAATGTGAAATACTATCATTAAATGTCTGCTACTTACACCGTTAGGAAGGGACACACAGTCTCCAAGGAGGGAAGGAAAATCTTCCTTTGAACAATTTGTTTGCACAATTGAATAGATGATGTCAAAATTGAAGCCAGCCACCACCTGAAATGAGTTAGGTTGAATGAGTACTTGAACATCAGGTTGAACATTATTCACAGTGAGCAAAAGTCTTTAAACATTGAACTGGATATAATAAGTGCTCAAGAACTACAAACCATCATCATTATTAGGCAATAGTATCACTAATCAAATATTGAGTATTGTGACAAACAGACGTATAGACACCCACATATAAACATAAAATACACTCCCAATGACACGTCTAAGTAACTGTAAATATAAAATTATATGCACATGTATTATAAGTGTATATAAAATATAAATCTTAAGTATCATATAAGATATACATGAACACAGGTGGGAAAAGTACACATCACACACAGGAAGAAGTTGAGCTAAAAGTAGAGATGGTTACTCTGTAAATTGAGGGATTCTTAAGAAACTGAACTTCAAAGGACCAGATGAGCTCTCAGAAAAGCCGTGACAAAGGAGCTAATAAAAGTTCTGAGTCCAAAGTAGGCCTGGTGGTCAAAGCCTTTAATCCCAGCATCAGAGGCAAGAGTAGGAAAATCTCTGTGAGCTTGAGGCCACCTTGGTTTACAAAGTGAGTTTCAAGGCAGCCAGGACTGTGTAGAGACTCTACCTCAAACAAGCAAAACAAACAAATAAATGATCAGATTACTAGATAGATATTTCCACCACACACCACCAGGAGAAAGTGGGCAGTATAATTTAGGGCATACCCAGAAAGTTGTTTGCACCTTTTTATAAACAATTTAATATTCTGATGCCATTTTTAATTTAATGACAAGAAGATAAAAATACAGATTTGGTAAAACCTTAAAGCCAAAGTGATACCCGTTTTTCCATTTCTGGGAAGAAAACATGTAATGCTGAGGGAATGGGCAAGTGAGAGTTTTCCGTTTTTCATAACGAATCTCACAACTCACATGGACCCATGAGGAAGCTCCTTGCCTTAAGAGTTATTCTCATGAAAGCACAGGACACTCCAGAACCATGTCAGCATATGGCCAGACAGGTTGCTCCTGACAATGGTTCATTTTAGGTGACAAAATGCCAATCTAACAGATTTTTAACCACATCACATGTCTTGAACAATTGAAAAACAAACCTGACTGTTGGCACTTTTTACTTCTCTGAGAGCAAAGAGGTGGCTATGATCTGTGTTGTTGTTGAAATGTTCGATGGCATGTTTCAGAACAGGCTCCAGGTCTGGGCTATCTGTCGATATGGGGTGCACACAACCCAGACAGGGGAATTCATCTGTTACCATGGGGCCCTTACCTTGACAAAGAGCAGACAAAGAGACAGCATTAATAACTGAAAACACATCTCATATTCATGGTCCTAAACACATGAGACCATTTAGAAAGATCCTCAAAAACCGACTTTCTTGTAACTCCTCTGAGTTAAAGATACTGAGAATGTAGGACTCATGTGCAGTCAGAGACAAAGATGCAGAGTATTAGGAATGATTATTTTATGCTATACTCTTTATTTCATTTTTTGACATGGTCTCATATATTCCAGGTTGGTCTGGAACTGTCTACACAGCTACAGATGGACTCAAGTGTCTGATCCTCCTTCCTCTGCTTTTCTCCAGAGGCTTCTATTCCTGCTGTATGGACTGATGGGGATCACACCCAGGCCTTCAGGCCTACTAGCTTCTCAGAACAGGGTTCAGGAAGGAAGTTGTGTGAGGAGAACACTCCAAGAATACAAGACAGGAGTCTTGTGAGCTCAGTTTCTTGAAAGCACAGAATTATTCTTGGAATGAGGGCTCATGCTCCGCCCAGATGTACTGGATAGGAATGAGGTTACTTCAGATTATTCATTATTGTTTGCTGGTGTTATTCAATTAAAATTTTAAACCCTCCTCATATGAATGTATTATTTAGGATTCCCTAGAGTCACAGAACTTATGGAACATTTTTATATATTAAGGGAATTTAAAAGAATGGTTTATTATACATATATATATACTGTAGCTGTCTTCAGACACACCAGAAGAGGGCATCAGATCCCATTACAGATGGTTGGGAGCCACTAAGTAGTTGCTTGGAAATGAACTTAGGACCTCTGGAAGAGCAGTCAGTGCTCTTAACTGCTGAGCCACCTCTTCAGTACCATATTAAGGGAATTTATTGTAATGACTTACAACCTGTAGTCCAACTAACCAAACAATGGACAGGTGTGAATGGGAAGTTCAAAAGTCTAGTAGTTGCTTGGTCAATGATTCTAGTTGTCTCACCTGATCTTCTGTGTAAGCTGGAATCCAGAAGAGGTAGGTTCTAACAGATGTGCTGGCCAATAAATGCAAGCACATGAAAAAAGAGTGAGTCTACCTTCACCTAGTGTTTTTATGTAGGCCTCCATCAGAAGGTATGGCTCATATTAAAAGTTTGTACCACCACGCCTGGATATAGAACTAGTTTAGTCCCAGGTTGACCTTGAACTCAGAGAACTCCTTGCCTTAGTCTCCTGGGATTAAAGGTGAGTACTACCTTGATTGGGCCTAAGTTTTTCATGGCCACTATGCCTCAAGATCTCCATGCCAAGCTCCAGGTGAGAAGCCTGTGTCCTCCAGCCTCAAGATCTAGATCACAGGAGTGCCCTCCATTTCTGGATTGTAGTTCATTCCAGATGTAGTCAAGTTGACAACCAGGGATAGCTGTCACAATGACTTTATGGAAACAGGTTTTTTTGTCACGTGTGGCTTATCCCTGTGATTGCATACAGCTTGAACTCATGAGAACCTTACTGAGCTGACTTGTCTTAACCTGCAGAGTACACATCATCTGAAGCTCTGAATAAATTGGGTATAGGATGAGACAGTAGTCTGCCTCATTCATCAGCTCCATTCTCCCACGTCCCTCTGCCTTTAGAGTGGTGACGTTAGCTGAGCTACATCAATAGGCCCCTATTTTAATGTATTTTAATGATCATAACAGTACACTAGCCATTTATAAACGGGAAGACATTACAGATACATCATTAATTTTTTAAGGCTAATGAAAGCTCCCTGACACCTAATTCCATCTGCTAAAGTCTTGCCTTCCCCCACAAACAGGATTGTCTTTCCATTTTTTGTGTCACACAATACTGTCAAACTTCTTTAGCTTCACATTCAGGGTTTTGTCATATAAAACAAGTCATCATGAGGGAGTGTGCTGGCCAGAAAGTATTCCTCTCTGTTCTCCTATGACTAGAACCGAAGGCAAGAGGCTTTCTCATTAGTCAGCCCAAGAGGAGCCTTTCCTTGAATTCCATCTGTCCCTGTTGTCCCCCGGCAGGTGCTGAGCTAGGTTCTAGGGAGACATTAAGGGTCACATCTTTGAAGGGATGATAGAAAGGACAGACTGTGGACAGATCATTTCACTGGATGGGCAAGAGCTAGGAAAGACTGGAAGTCAGACTGTGCTGAGGGAGGACGTCTACAGAAAAGATGAGCATCCTAAGACAGAAGGAAAAGGTGGCAAGAGGCATCAACAAGACATGTGAGGGGGAAGGGGGAGAGAAGGGAGAGCTGGTGCTGAAAAGTCAGGATGGGAAAGGAACAGTAGTGTGGGAGGGGGCATCTGTTCAGTGTGCCAGAGTGTCCAGTGTGACACAGAGAGGGCCAGTTTGATTTAGGGACAGTCAGAGAGAGGAGTCTGTGCTCTAGGCAGGAGATACTACCCCTGTTTAAAGTCACTATCTACACTGAAGCTCACTAGTTCTTTGGCAAATCTGGTGAGAGCTGTAGCCTCTCCACAGGAAAATGCAAATAATCATGATATTTACACAGGATGTTAGGATTCCAATAGGCTCTCTGATGTGAAGAATGTGCTGATGTGGAGTGAGGAACCACTGAATGGTTTGCAATAAAACAGTGTCAAATATTTTTATAGTTATTTTGTATTAAGTTACCAAGGCGAGAGCCCTGCCTGATAGAGGATGGCTGCAGAGTGAGTGGTGTGGTCAGCAGAGATGTAACCTCGGGATCAAGGCTTCCTGACCTCTTGGGAACACACTTCCTGGGTGCCTACTGTCCTTGGAGATCTCTCTCTCTCTCTCTCTCTCTCTCTTTCTCTCTCTCTCTCTCTCTCTCTCTCTCTCTCTCTCTTTCTCTCTCCCTTCCTCCTTCCCTCCATCCTTCCCTCTTTCCTTTTGAGACAAGGCCTCATATACCCCAGGGTATCCTCCAGCTTGCTCTGTAGTTGAGGACAAACTTAAAGTCCTAATCCTCCTCCTGCCTCAACCTCCCCAGTTTGGGATTTACAGGTGTGCATTATCATATTCAGATGTAGGTGCATCATAAATGTGCTGGAAAGTCCAGTTTGTCAGGAGCCATCATAGGACATGGTAATAACAGCAGATGACATTCCTGAGATGACCAACTTAGATTAATAACTATGATGGAACTCCAGTAGGCAAAGCCCAGGAGAAAATCATTTTAGAAAATTAATATTCTTTTCCTGTTATTATTAAAAATATATGACAATCACTAGGTATTAGCACCTCTCCTTTTTGAGCAGATCTCTACAGACTACAAACATGTTCTTAATGTCTTGTAGTGACACTATATAGACTAATAGATGACGTCTCAATTTTTTATGATCATCATGTAAGGGCGCCAAAAACTCTATCAGTATTTATTAAGCTCTTTCATTTGGGACTGCTATTAGGTCTCTTCTGACAGTCAAAATTGCAATGAGAACTCTGCCTGTCTCCCATGTGTCACCAGTTAATTGCTTCTACTACACAGAGCACATTCTAAGAGGTTGTAAAACTGTTAATCATAAAAAGGGAACGAACAATTATATGGGCTAGTACAGAAGACAAAATATTGACTGGATTATTGATACAAAAAAACTCCACTAATAACTTAGTTATGGTTTTTAGCTTTCAGTGAACCTGTGGAGCTGTGACAGGTGATGGATGTTTAGCCAGATAATTACTCCTGATGGATATACATGTAAACGTTCTCTGTTGTAAACTTCTATTTCAATTTATTACTTGAATTTATGTGTGAGATTGTGATGAACTTTTTAACAGGTGATCATGTATTCTAAAAAAACGTATAAGGACAAAGAAGAATCAAAACCAAACTGAGGAGAATTTTTTAGACAGAAGTCTTTTTAGACAGGACTGGACTCAAGAAGAACTTAGAAGTATAGGCATAGCACTGGGAGCAAAGACATTGAGAGTGAGAGCATTATTGTGACATCAGAGCAGGAGGAGAAGCATTAGGAGAATGCAGAGTGGAATAACTTAGAAACTATAAGGCAACTTTAAAAATTATGAGAGCAATGTGCAGAACACAGAGAGAAAGGAAAGAAGAAGCTGCAGAGAAACAGAAGGAGGAGGCAGGCTTCTCCTTACTACGGGGCAGAGCAGGTCCTTTCTTAATTACATGGCAGGCTTAGTCTTATTAAAGGAACAAAGCTTTCTTCTTACAGACTTAGGTTTAATTCATTTAGCATTACAAGGTTAGAAGACCTTTTTTTCCTCAATGCAATAAAGATTGGGGCTCAGTTTCCATCCAGAATGAGTGAGATCTTTCTGCACTGACACTGGGGCTTTTGTCCCATATACATATGTAAGTATCAGTGTGTGTGTGTGTGTGTGTGTGTGTGTGTGTGTGTGTGTGTGAGTGTGTGTGTAAGTATGAAACTGTGAGAATGCATGCAAGCTGGACCCAACTGGTTTGAATGGAAATGCATAAATATGCATGTGTGAATCACTATATGAACTTATGGGAGCTGATACATATTTGCTTATATAAAAGTTTTTCCTTCTGCAAGCATGATTCTCTTCCTCTGGTTCAATAGCAGTATATTGCTCCAAACTTCCCTCTAGCCCTACAAGGCATCTGGACAAAAGGGAAAAGGCCCTAGCAATTAATCCTTTACTTAATTCCTCCTGTTTTAGGATGAGGTGCTAAGGGCCAGAGACTGCAGTTTCTGGCCTCTGAGAAACACAGACCTCAGGTCAGCTAGAGCAGCAAAATAACTTAAACTTAGATAAGTACACTTTAATTATTATACATCAACTCTAACTATCTCGTAAGACAAAGTCTTACCTCCTGCCAACACTCTTCCCTCTCCACTGCCTCAAAAACAATCAACAAGAAAGAAGACCCTGCGGGAACTGGGCCCCTGGAACCGATTCTGGTGCTTTGTTTCAATAGCCGAAAGCTGACTGAACACAATAGGTGCGATCTACTCAGTAGAGTAAGTCCTGGACTATGCTGCTGATATCCAACCCCTCACATCTCTAGCTCCTCAACGCAGCTTTCCTCAGGACTGTGTGGTGTATGACATCTCTACTTCTGTCAGAAACCGTATAAACAGTTTTCCATTCTCTTCTTGCAGATGAGGTTGGTTCAGGGCACTGGCCGGTTCTACAACTGTAGAGAATTTGATGGGAAGGATGGGAGACTTACAGATCAAAAGAGATAAAGCCACTGGAGCTGTGGGGGCGACCAGGGCAGATTTTCCCACCAGCCAGCTCTCCTTCAAGACAGAATGGAGTTGGAGAAGATAGGGGTTTTCAGAGAGGTAAGGAAGTGTAAGAAGGATGCTGTTCCTTTCTTGGGTAACTGAGTGCATTCCACGCTGCGTATTTCTATACAGATGGCTTTCAACTGGAAATAGAACTTTTCACTGCTGGTGGGTACTGATGAGCTCTTCTCTGTCTTGGGCTGGTTTCTCT